AGAGCTCTGTGGTTCCTCCTAGAAGACAAAGTGGAAGCTGCAGGATCTTCAGAACAAACAGGTCATGATGCTGCTAGGCCTACTGATTATCCCTCTGTTTGGACACAGGATCAATATCATCACTTTAAAAGCAAAAATGAATGGTTATATGCCAGACATGGAAAACTGGGATGCCATGATGTTCAGAATAGGTTTTATGGTGTATCGTGGTGTCAAAATTGCCACCCAGTAAGGTAAGCTGAGGGAAATACAGCTCTATTTTGTAGCAATTCAAGAGCTACTCAGCTTTTATCGCTTCGGAAGAACACTTTTTATTTATTTATTTTTTTTTACTCCAATGTGACCAGGCGGGCTCCGTAAATAAGTTCTTTTTTTTATTTCCCATATAAGTAAGTGAGTAAGTATCCTCAAACAGTAGGAAACGGCAAACTGTAGGTCACGTGACTCCTGCAGACTCGGGGCGGGTCTCTCGGCTGTAGTTCACTTCCTGCTTCTTCTCTTCGCTCTCGCCTGGTCAGCTGCTTCATTCCTCTGTCCGACGACAGACACAATGTCACATCAAACGGGCATTCAAGGTAGGGGTTATTTCTAATTTCAGTGCCTCACTTTTGCCTGCTTCCGCTGTCTGAATTTGAAGCTGAGCTTCAAGCGCCCGGTGCAGTTTGTTGCAATCAGAAGCTAGCGTCAAGTTAGCTGATCTGTCCCTGCTAGCTAGCCTAGCTAGCTTCAGTGATTTGTGCGACCAGCTGTGCCGCTCTGGACTTTAGGAGGACTTATTTCCGAGCGTTTTGCCTCTCCGTAGCCGTCCCAAAGCATTTTCTTCTCAAAGTATTTCTTGACGCCGCTTTGAGGCAATTCTCTCTCTATTTTTTTTTAATCATCAAACTGAAACCCTGTGAGGTTAGTTCAGGCTCTGAATCAATGGGCGACGCCTTCATCTAAAGTCACTGCCGGTCTGGCACCTGTCAAGGTTCCAGTTATTATCTGAATTGCACGGATATTATGCAGTGTTGATGGAGACCTTTCAGATTGGGCGTGACCACCTGCTACACAAGATGCCTACGCAGGTAATTTGTTTAGTCTGCATTCACAAATTTATCCACATGAGAGAAAAACGTGTTGTAGACTAGGCAAAGGGGAATATTGCACTTTCTACTGTTTTTATGAACAGCGACTGGCTTATAGAGATGTTCTAATTTATCCAAAGTGAAGCTTATCTCCGTCCCCTCCGTTAGGGGAAACCGATTATCTAACCCGAATGGGTCACATAAATATGTGACCCATTCAATAAAGGCATTGATAAAGCACCTGTTGGTGTGTGCAACAGGAAACGGACATCACACACATTTGTCTGCAAAACGGATTTGTATCGGAAAGAGTTAGTGAATCTGTGTTTCTGCATTAGTTATGTTGTTTGAATAGTAATGATGATAAAAAAAAATATCACCAGGATTTGTAGTTAGTCATTGAGAAGCTATTTTACCTGTTGACCTCTGTGCTCGGACATAGGTCAGAGTTGTTAGACTTACAGTAGGCATGAACATCTCGCACAGTATGACTGCATTGTGTAAAATATACCACAATTTCAGGGAATTGGCACAAAAATTAAACCGTGTACAACATGATCTACTTACTTAAACAGAAAAGTAATAATCATAACTAGCACTTCTAAGGTTCTTTGCATTATTGGTTACAACATGTCTGATAATATTCCTTATTTTAATACAGAGGACCTTAGTAAAACTATAGAATCACCTGCTAAGCCTTGTATTTTTCCAAGTAAATGTGCTTATTGTGTAAAATATTGCTGCTCTTAGGGCAACACAAGTATGACAAAATAAGAAATAATAACAATAAGAAAATAATAACAATAAGCAGGAAATATCTCCTTGAGTGAAGCTGACTTTTCTTATAAGCAAGGCAAAACTGAACATGAGAAATTTGTGGCATCTGTTTAATCGAAGTTAAAATCAGTACGATAGAAAGTTTTTGCAGTTTTTTGTGTACGTTTTAAAACAATGGAGTGCGTTGATACTGTTAGCTGACCGATGTCTGCTTTTCCGTTTATTGAGCTCCAACATAGATTTGTGTATGAGCAGTCATTCATGGGCCTTCGTGCCCAATAACACTGACTAAAATGAACCGAAATGAGTTTGGTTGCAAACTTTAATGCACTTTAACTGGACTAATCCGTCATTTGTCTGTTGCTTATACCTGACGGCTCGAATCAGACTTTGAAAACCAACAACCGGACTAGACTGTCCCTTTCTGCACAGCTTAGCTCTTTTTCTAAACAATATCTTTTCCATCTTGTTCCAAGCTGGGAACGACGTGAAAGAAATCTTTGCCAACGCCAGGAGCGGAGACCAGTATCGAGTCTTGAAGATCGTCATCGAGGAGGGTAAGCAGAGAACCTTGTATTTATTTACAACCTTTTGTGCCAAGAAAAGGCTGAACTCACCCCTCTGCCCAAAGGTTGTGTGTCTGTGTGTGTGTGCGTGAAAGAAAACTCTGCGGTGCTTACATTTCGGTCTGCACACATCTGCCTTCCAGAGCAGCTGACACTGGGCACCACCAGGAAAGCGTCCAAGAAGTGGGATCAGGAATACGATTCCCTAGTGCTGCCGCTTCTGGAGGATGCCGTGCCATGCTATATTTTGTACCGTCTGGACTCCACTAACAACCAAGGCTACGAATGGATCCTCCTCTCCTGGTCACCAGACCACTCTACTGTAAGACAGCCGCGCCTGCTGCCTTTAATGACTAGCTTTCCATTCTTCGCAGCATTTGTTGTGCTCTGCTTTGGGTATAAGAGGGGTGGAGTTGACCGCATCAAAGCAACCAGCCCGTGTTTGATTTCATACCTTCTTAGTCTTAAAAGCTAAATATGGCTTGATTATGGTGTTTTTCTAAATAACAGGCTACTTTGCCTTTTTTTTTTAAGTTATTCTTTCAGTTTTTAGGGTAATGTATGCAGCCCAATGAGGTTTTGGCAACCGACTCAAACATAACAAACTCGTCCCGATTTTGTTTCATTTAGACATCACACGGGAACATTATGTTTCCATGGCTGTGGAAAGGAATGTTATGCAGCATGAAGATGCAAGGTGCAAATATGTTTGTAGCTCTTTGTTCTGAAACTCCCATCTGGAGTCACAAAGCTGACCTTTAACATTCCTGTTCCTGAGCATAAAGTGTCAGGTTGAGGCTTGCCTAGAAGTTGCTTAATCTCTTCACAACCTGCATGTGCATGAATGCTGCTGATTTACTGACCTGGAATCGTTTGTTTTCACTTTGGGTATATCCATCAAGTCAACCATGTGCACAGAGCTTCAACCTGTTATTTTGATGTCAGAGAAATTTGCCTTTGTAGTTCAAAACTCTTGGCCATTGTTTTTAGTGGCGTCTTCATGAGTTGCTTGTCTTTTTATTTTTTTTCATTGCAGGAACTGAAGTAGTAAACCAGTTTATAAGGCTGCAAGCAGGATAGCAATGCTAATTAATAAAACTATTCATGAATGACTTTACTGTCACAAAACAAAAGTGGTAATTTTAGCAATTAGTGCAGTGTCTGTCTGATTTTTAAGGGTGTGTCCAGATTCTTGAAGTAAAGCTCACTAGCCTTAACCTAAACCTGATGTTTGGAATAAATTGCACTGAATAGATCACTGAGTTAATCAGTGTTTACATTTAAGACTCTTAATTTTAAGAGGTCTTGCTACATTTTCCATGGGTCTTCAGTTAAATTTAGTTCTGCTTTTTTTTTTTTGTACTTTTGGCTATTTATTGTATAATATATTTTATTAGTATTTTTTATTGTAAATATTTGCTTTATTTATATTAAGAAGCTTTCATTTGGCGTAGCTCTCTCTTTAGGCATTAGTTTACGGTGTGATAAAAGTTCAGACTAGACAATTCACCTGAGACTGGCTTCTTTGTAATTTGTGTAAATTAAACTGTAGTTATGCTAATATTTGTTTATTATTTATTAAGGTAACAAACCTAAATTGATGTTAGGTCTTAAATTTAAACTATTATAGTTTTTAAAGGTCTTTTAAAAAACTTAGAATGCTTAGAATAAAGAAACTGATGAAAATATTTAATCTGTTTAAGTTAATATAAGCTCAGCTTCACTCCTCGATAAATCTAAAGCAAGATGTTCCAGGGTAATTTTATCCTGCAAAATGAACAGCTACAGACAAGTGAACATTACACACACACACACACACCCTCACACATGCAATAATAATGCTGCGGTCCCTTCAGACTTCAAGATGCATGAAGGTTGCTTTTATTTTCCAGGTGTGGAAAAAGGAAAATACTTTTAAGTTTCCAGACATTCTTACCATTTTTTCCCAAAGTTTGAACATTTAATGGAAAATAATTGAGTACTGTTTTTTTTTATTTTTTTTTATTTTGATCTAAAAGTTTGTGTTTAACATTTTAGCCACCAGTATTGTGAATTTTAAGAGACGCACCAGTCGACTGGTCAGAGATCCAAAGCTGCCATGTTTCCCTTGATTGGCAGGTGGTTGCTGAATTTGTTTTGGTGTTTTCATAAATGTGTCATTAAATGTATCAATAGCACCAAACTTTATTTTTGATATAAACAATGATGGGAGCGGTAATGTTATAATGTTAGTAGGTCTTAACTTTGTGGATTCCACTCCCATCATTGGTTGGACTTTGTCTTCTATTTAGCTTTTATCAATCAATATACTTTTTCTTTGCTGTTTTATAGCCCTAAGAAAAAAATGGTAATCTGTCACATAAAAAGCAAACTGAAATTATTTTTGGTCAGAAAAATCCTGATCCGACCCCGACTTTTCATCATAATAAAAACATTTAATTTGCTTTTATTTTTCCAGGTGCGACACAAAATGTTATATGCTGCTACCAGGGCGACACTGAAGAAAGAGTTTGGAGGAGGGCACATTAAGGACGACATTTTTGGAACCACAAAGGTTTGTCGTTGAACCTCACATGAAGTTGTTTATTTTATTTCTATTTTTGTTGTTGTTTTTTTTTTTCTGAATCTGTAAATGCGGTTTTTGTTTGCAGGAGGATTTGAACTTCAGTGGTTACAAGAAATATCTGACCTCACAGGCGGCTCCTTTGCCCCTCACTGCTGCAGAAGAGGAACTGAGACAGATCAAACTCAGTGAGGTAACCGCCAAGAATCCCAGTTTCACACGCGAACACACAAAATCTTGCCAAGTACTTTTGTTTTTAATCCTAGTGCAAGTATCACTTGTACACTTGAAATGAGACAAAACTGACTTTTCAGCAAGATATAGGAGTCTCAGAGGGAAGGGTGGTTTGTGAGGCTGAAGCTCGGAAACTTTGAAACTGCAGCTCCAGAGGAGGAGCTGCGTTTTAAAGGCGGAGCTAGGTCCACCCAGGCGTTTTACACAGCTGAATGGTTATCGTGGGAGATTAAAAGATTTCTCAAACATGCATGAAAGAATCAAAGCAACACTCCAGGTATGACCTTAATGTGTAAATAACATAATTACCTCATGTAAAGCTAAGAAAAGTTGATTTTCACATAATATTGCCCCATTTAATATTGATGAAAATGTACTAGTTCTACTGGCAGATTATTTCACTCATGTCTTCCAGTGGAAGTAGTACCTTCAAATCAATATTAGCAAATTATTGACTTAACACAAGCTCTTATATGTAGCTGAAAAGTCACTTATTTTAAGTGTGCTAAGATATTTGCACTAGAAACTACACCGAAAATACTTGGTGAAATCTTGTGATTTAAAAAAAAAAAAAAATTTTTACAAAGCATCTGCTGGACAGCACTTGTATATAAGGAAATAATGCAGTTCTCTTGTCCAGGTGTAGTTTAGGCTGTTCTTTTAAGTCTAAAAGGAAACACCACTCACTGTATCATCTTCACACTCTAGACTTCAGCAGTTGAAAATAACTGCTTAGCTTCGTGCTCCTCCTCCTCTTCCTCCTAATCTCCTGTGTGATGTGAAACCCCCCCCAAACCAGAACCTGGCTGGGTGAAAGTATCAATGAAGGCCTTTTAAGCGCACAAGGTCAGCAGCATTGCAAGTGTGCAGATGCTGGCCTGGCAGTATCAAACATGCTGATGGGCTAGAACAGCAGGATGTTGGCAGAGATCACTCTCATTAAGGCTTTTACAGCTCACACCCTTGTGTCCATTAAAACAAAAAAAACAAAAAACAGCTCAGATACCCAGTAATGGGGCTTGTTTAGTCGAATCCAAAAAATAAAAAAAAGTGGCTGAAGATGTCGTTGAGAGTTCAAAACTAAATCTGACCTCAAGTATGCAAATGTCCAAGCTCTGCAGTGGAGAGTGATTTCACTCTGGGACACAAGTGAGCTCTGTCGTTGTGCTTTGCCTTTTGTTGTGATAAGAAAGATGAATGCGGTAACGTGATACTGCTGATGTAATTGCCTCTACTTACCTCGCAGACTTGAACCTTCACCGCGTCTACAGGGGGAAGTTTAGGTCAAGTTTTTTGACTTGGAGTCATTTTTCCTGAGTTAACAGCATTTTCTAATTGCTGCTCTCCCAGCCTGTTGCATAAACAACAGCTCTCTTCCTTACCATATATGGAACTGTTTTTAGTGGCGTAGCCTCTCTTCAGAGCACTGTCAATTTAAAACTGCAACGCAAATGGGAAGTGAGGTTTTTGCTGCTGGTCCCGTTTGGCCAGCTGTCGAAGGAAGATGAAATGTCTTTAGTCTGTACCATCCAGATGCAAAAGCTCTAAGAATATTTAACATCTTGCCTTGACTTTTTACCAGGCAGATGGGTAAAAGAAACACACAGTCGTGTTTGGAATGTGAAGTAGCTGCATTTGTGCTCAGTCATGTCTGCGAGGCTTTCCAATTTATAGGATCAGACCTCTAAAAATAGACGCAATCTATCAGTGTAATCCTTTCTGCATTTTCAAGTTCTCTGTTTGATTTGCTAAAGGCGCCTTGCCACTTCCAATACAGACTCCTCATCTGTTATCAGAGTGCCTCAGCTTTTAAGCAGGACGGCTCAGCAGTTTACTGTGCGTTTGTTTTTTTTAAACCCATCTAATGAGATTGTTCAGTTTTAAAGTGTTTGTTGTAACAATGACTTAGAAATCAAATAGAGGGTGAAGCCTAATAACCAGCAGCTCTTGTGTTCAGGTCCAGACGGACATCAGCGTGGACACCAAGCAGCAGACTCTGCAGGGAGTGGCCTTCCCCATTCACAAAGATGCTGCTGACGCACTGGCACATTTTAAGGAAAAGAGAATCAACTATGTGCAACTGGTGAGTTCCCAACAGAAAGCAATGCCCTGCTAAAGTGGTCATTCCTCCCTTTCACATTTTTGTCATGCGATTGTTGTTGTTGTTGGACGGTGAGCGTCTGTGGACACGGACCTTCAGGTTTGCCACAGTTATCGCAGACACGATAATTAATATTGCAGGAAGATAAATTATCCCAGTAATTCCTTTGATGAACGATAACATCGTTTTGAGGCCATTTTCAGGTATTGATAGTGGTTATCATTTCTTTTTGTCTCTCAGACAAATTAATTTAGCAAACAACACTTTACACTGGAACTGGAAGATATTTTAAATATCGAAAAACAACCAAAACCGTAAATAAAATGGATTGTGAGGTCTGTGTGAATAAAGTTACCCTTTCAAAAAATATGATTCATAAGAATGAAAATTCTCCTTCTAATTTTTAATTTACCATGAAATTAACTGATTAATTGCTTATTGCTACATGCTTAGCCACAGACTCTCTGAACTTTGACTAGGCCACTCCAGCACACGACTGTCTTTAAATCTGAACCATTTATTATATTATCTAATTCCACAGCAGATGTTGCTGTTTAAGAGTCGATGTCCTGATGAAAAGAGAATCCGCCCCTCGTTGCACTCAACAAGTTTTCTTCCATTTTTGCCTTCATTCATTTTACCATGACCTCAACAGCATGACGCTGCCACCACCATGTTTCACTGTGCGGTATATTGTGTTTTAATTTACTGTCATATTTGGCATGTTGGCTAAAAATGTTCGTTGTTCTCTTCTTTAATATAAGGCAGATGCTTCGCTATCTTGGTGGGTTAGCAGTTGTACCAAGCTGTTTTTATTTTCAAACAAGAAATTAACCAGTGCGCTAAGAAATGGTAAAAGCTTGGGGTTTTGATTATTATTATTTTTTTGCCTCATCCTGCTTTAAACTACTCAACAACTCTATCCCTGACTGTCTGTCCCTGGGTCTCCGTGAAGCAGTTTGTTTTTCCGTCTCTTACAACGGTTGTATTTCTCATGTTCCTTTTACTTCACAATTATTGCTTGTTATGGTTCTGCTCTCAGAAAAACCCTCACAAATACTTAGATAAGAAGATGAGAGTTCAACGGTGAAGAACATTTCTGCAAGGCACAGGGAGTGTTACAACAGTGAACTTGCTCCTTAAATACCTCACACTTTTGTTACCTTATAAACAGAAAGAAGCATTGCTGGTCAGGAGCTGCTTTTGCAAACACAATGAATCAGTCTTTTTTTTTTTTTTTGATAAAAAAGCCTTTGTTTCATTGCTCATTAAAATTCAGTGTACCCATGGCTCTGATTAGATCAGTCCAAAGAACAAAGGAATAATTGAAGCCTGTTATTCTGCGATCTTCAGAGGCAAACGGATAGGTTTTAGATTTTATTTTTTCTTTTTATTATTCCATTAAAACAATTCTCCTGACCATAACATGGGTAAGTGTTTCACTCCAAAGAAAAGGTTTCATAAGTGGTCTTTAATTGACACTCCTTAGGTTTTAAAATTCAGTTTAATTGGTTCGTGACGTGAGCAAGCTGTGAGAACTTTCCACCTTGAGTCCGTTTAAAAGTTTTCTTTCATTTTTGACCCACCACAGTTAGTTTGTGAACCTATCCCAGGGCAAGCCCCTTTTTTCTACTCAAACATGTAAGTAAACATGTTTGGTTACACAAACACACACACACACACACACACTCTGCCCCCCAGATGCTCCTGCAAAAACATTTAATTTCATTTGGCATTCAGGAATAAACTCACTGGGCATGTAAATAAGCAGTAGAAAACCAGTTTGAATGCAAATGACATCTGATCATGTTTTGTGTGTGTGTGCGTGTGTGTGTGCATTCTGCCCCCCTGAATAGGCCACCCAGAACAGAGAGCAGGTTACAGATGTTGATTCTCTCAATATTAAAGTTGTGTGATGAAAAGAGGAAGAGGGCGATGAGGAAATGGACTGTAGACACACAGCAGTCTGAAGACACCTATTTCTTGTTTGTTTTTCCAGTAACCTTGACAACAGAGCTCCGGTTTAGGAAATTGTGTTTGCTCATATTTTGTTTTGCATAAAATCTTTTACCCTTTGAAAAATTATTTCCCCTTAAAAACGTTGCACGTCTGGAAGGAAAATCCAAACTTTTGGAGTTCTGTTCATTAAAAACACTTTGTGTGATGAGCTGGGATGGGTTCTCCCTTGCTGGAAAAATGAGACTTGTCGTCATCGGAGACGACCTCAAAGCAGAGAGGTGTCAAAATGAGATTCTGCAGTCGGTGAATCCTTCCTTCCTCCAACTCAACCAAACTGGTGAACATCCAGTCCAACTAGCTTCGCCTCAGTCCTGGTTTTCTTTTGGTTACTGTCACTTTTTCTTACACCAACTATAACCCCTTTCACCTTCCTCTGTCAACAGGAAATAGATGTTGAAAAGGAAATGATTCGCTTGTGCAGCACTGAGCCAACCGAGTTGAAAGACCTGCCAAAGAGAGTCCCCAAAGATTCTCCACGTTACCACTTCTTCCTGTACAAACATTCCCATGAAGGCGACTACTTGGAGTCTACAGGTTCGCTGTTCTTTACACGTCGCCGTTGCCGACGTTCCGATGGGCATCTTTTTTGGCCCTAATCTCTTGTTGTCCTTTTTCTCTTTTGCAGTCTTCATTTATTCTATGCCAGGGTACAAGTGTAGCATCCGAGAGAGGATGCTGTATTCCAGCTGCAAAAATAACCTGATTGACATGGTGGAAACCAAACTGCAGATTGAGATCGAGAAAAAGGTGAGAGATGAAGACGTCGTGATTCACACTTGAGCTACTCTGTGCTTGATTCAGAGGTCCTATGCATTATTAGAGTTGAGCTTCCACACTTTTCTATAAATTCACATTTTCAACTGTCTTTTTTTCTTTTAGCTTATTTAGAAAGAGCAAAAGTATGAATTTATGGCAGATAGTGCTACAGTTGATGAGCTTTAAATATGGATAAACTACACAAGATGGAAGGATGTCAGATGAATAATGGATGGGATGGAAGAACATGCTGAAAGGTTTTATTTATTTAGCCAGTAGAACAGAGAAATAGTTCTGAAAATCTATTTTTCTATGCTCTATTCTTGCCCAAACTTATCCAGACCTGGACAATTATTTGACCAAATCTCAGATTTTTTCAGACTACATAGAAAACCTGAAAATGGTCGTCATAAAGTAAGAGATTAAGTTTGTCTCGGTATCATAAATTCTACATAAATCAATTAATGGTTTTCTTTTTTTTTATAGTTTGATCCTTTATTAGTGAAATAAATATGAAAACTATTAATACAGTTTTATATAACTGCATTAATTAATTAATGCAGTTATGGTTGAAGTTGGATATTTTTTAAATTAACCAATGCAATCGGTGTAGCTGATTAAATCATAATTGAAATGTAAATTTACTTTTAATAATTCAGTCCGAAATGTAAAACTCCGTACAGATTTATCAGAAGGATCTGACTATTTCAAGCATTCATTTCTTTAATTATGGCTCGCAGCTAAAAATAAATAAGTTCTAAATTCACTGCCTCAGAAAATGAGCCATTACCATGAAAATTGATTGAAATAAAAACTTGTAACAAATCAGCATGAGAGCTAAATGACTCCTTTGTTGGATTCTAAACAGCTTGAAATGGCAACTCCACCTTATTTATAGACTGACACTGACTTGCCAGGTATTGTTTATTTTTTTCCTTTCACAGTTGGAAATTGAAGACGGGACCGAACTAACAGGCGAGTTCATGTACGCCGAGGTGCATCCCAAGCAGCACGCCTATAAGGAGCGCTTTGCCAAGCCCAAAGGCCCAGCCGGTAAGAGGGGAGGTCGCCGAATCACCCGGCCACCCGGCGAGGGAGAGGAGGAGGATTAAAACACACCTCCACCCCACACACCCTAAATCCTCCACCCCATAACGTGTTCCACAGTGGAACATCCCTGTGATGGGCGACGAAAAAATTGTATTTGACTTTTTTTTTTTGTTATGTTTCTGTTTTCTTTTCCCAAGAACCTCAATTTTTTCTCACCATGTTACCCAACTATGCACGCCAAGGAGAACTGAGCAATGACACCCTTCAGACGTTCCATTTGTAGCTTGCCAAATGGAAACGCGCATCTTAACACACTCACAAGCAGCTCAACTGTAACTCAAGGGGCCCAAATAAAAGTTGAGGTATTTGCTTCGTTGCCAGCTCTAACACTTAGTGGAAAAAAAAAAACAAAACAAAAAAAAACTTTCAAGCACGACTAATGTGAACTCGCGCAAATATAGAAAGAAATGTTTTTTTTTTTCTTAAAAATTCTTTTGAGTTCGTATTCTAATTCCTAAATATCATTCCTTAAGTCTGTGTCAAGAATCGTTTGGGGTTTTTTTTTGTGTGTGTTCGTCTCCTACTGTTTGCACAACAAGGTGCTCCAAAGCTGAAAAGATCCGAATTATTCCCACGTTGTCGACTCCATTCGTTTTAACAGTGCATTTTTATAAAGACAAAATTCCTTCTTTTTGATATAACTGTGGTTTACATGGGGGAAGAAAAAAAAAAAAAGAAATCATCTGCTGAGAAACTTATTTTTCTATGCAAGTGCTGTAAATGTACATATTGTAGCTGTGTGATGCTCTATGATTAAGAAGCGGTCCGTTTTTGGTGATTGTCGGTGTGGATTTCAGTGGAAAAGACCGGGCTTCCAGAAATATTCCATCTATCTTGTACATCTCGCATTTCACCGAGAGGAAGCGAATAAAAACCTGGTTCCCACAGAGGAAGGAATGCCAAGCTCTTATCGGATAGAAAAGGGAATACTACCTTGACGGAAACATTGCCTCATCCACTGGTCTACTGATTAATATTTGGCAAACTACTTAGTTCACCTCATGTGAAGGGGAAAAAAAAAATCCCTTTATATTCATTGTCATTAGAGAAAACGAATAATGTTTGTTCTTTGTTTTCTTACAAATTTTTCTTTTAAAGATGAAAAATAAAATATTTAAATCAGACAATTTTGGTCCTTTTTTTATTTCTTCAAAAATAAAACGACTTTTTACTTTATAACACAAAAATTTAGCCTGGAAATTTAAAAAAAATTTATTAAAATGTTCTCAGTTTTCTTCCAACTCATATCCTCCAAGTATCTTTAAGAAGTCATGGATGAGATGCTGTGGATGGGAAGGATCTCCAGTAGCAGTCAGTCTTGCAACAAATCTGGCGATGCCTCTGACTGGAGCTAATGCTGTAAGATGGGCTTATGCCTGCTAATGGCTAAATATCTGTGTAGCGGAGCTCATATGTCCTGTTGGGGCTCCTCTTCAAATTTTCGTGAATATAAATCAAGTAGGGAAAGATGTTTTAATGCTAGATCTCTTTCTTACAGTCAATAAGGAACTTTTTAAAGTCAAAAGGCAGAAAACTTGTCAGTCTTTAGTTTGGAACAGACTCTGACTCGTTAATGTGAGCCTCTCGTTTCCCTCCATGCCTACGATTCCAACGAGATGCTTTTGACGACGCTGTGAATCTCTGAAACAACCTGCAAAAAAACCCAAAAAAACAAAACAAAACAGAATTTTACTTTAAAAAGCTGCAAACAGCTAAAGCAGCAGAAATGTTTTGCGTTTCATATTCAAAGCCTCACAAAAGTATGCAGACCTTTCTTTACACATTGTAGTCATGACCTTTACTGGATTTTGATACTTTATCCAACAAAACAACACACCTTAAGGAGGAAATTATAAAGTTTTCAAAATTCAAAACAAAAACAAATATGAAAATCGTGAAATGGATTCGTATCAATCTCTATTCACTCTGATACTCCTAAAGTAAATCCAGAGGAACCAAATGCCCACCAAACTAGTAAACCAAGTCCCACTGCTTAATTTACTCTCTGCCTCTCCTCCAGAGATGTAGAGATTCGTAGCTCTTCATCTCGTGTAAAGAGTCTGTAAAAGTCTGAATACTGCAGTCAGGGTTCACCTTCCTGAAGAATGACGACCCTAAACGTACAGCGAGGGCGACGGCGAATGGTTTCAGGTCAAAAACAACATGACCACAGGGGAACACGGAGTTGGGAGCATCATGCTTCAGGGAAGTGCTTTGTGCAAAGTAGAAACTGAAACGTTCAGAGGAAGGAAGACTCAAGGAAGGCACTGTAAACCACTGGACCTTATAAGAAATACATACTTTTAATCATGCTACTAGCTGGGATGCATCGACAGAAAAGGACAGTGGGTGATTTTTAGACCTCTGCTGAGCTAGATAAGATCGGTTTATAATATCGGCTTCACGTGTAAGTATCGGCCGGTCCCCCAAAAGTACGGAAACTGGCGCCCATAAATCGTTGCGCCTCTACTGACTGTACCTGTTTGATGAACGGCCGCCTGTTTTTCCTGTCGTCCAAGCAGTTGGAAGCCAAGCAGTAGATGCTCTCCACCTGGCTCAGCTCCCAGTCTGTCATCTTCCTGTCCAAAAACTGCTCCAGGGTCAGATCTTCGTCTTCATCATCGATGTCGTCCCTGATATCCATCTAAGATGGGGCAAACGGGAAAGGCGGACTGAGATTTTTTATTTATTTTTTTTTAATCACTGATAGCAGCTTGTTTCCCGCTAAAGTAAAAGCCTCGTGCGTAGCTTACCAGGAACTGGGGCTCCTTGTTTTCATCAGCTGGCGGAAGTCCAGACAATATTTCTAACAGCACCTGTAGACAGTAGAGCCATGAGGTTAATTACACGGCTCTGGGCAACAGGCAGCCCCTTATTTCCTCTCCATGCGCCCCGCATCTTCAACCACAACAGCCCCACTCCCACAGCTGTTCAGATTTAAAAAAAAGAAAAAAGATGGTGAACAATACAGCCACTGGCATCCCTCAGAATGAAAAAGGAGGAACTTCTCCAGCAGGAAACTGCATTTTAATGCTGCTGCACATCCATTTTAAATGGAATTGGATTCGCTAACCTGGGAAAGCTGCTTATGGACGTAAACAACCCGCCTCGTAGGCTTTTTTTTTTTTTTTTCATTACAAACAGAAAGAGCCCTGAGGTACCAGTGGAGAGGATTTAGTAAACCCTGCATATGAACCTGTGCAGAGAGAATCTGTAAATATTATAATAACAAGGGAGGGGAAAGGTAATTTCAGACAGATGCAAGGAAAAACACAATAAGACCACCAGCACAGTACCACTGGAATAAGAGTGAGTCGCAACTTTTTTTGGAGTTCTTTGCTTTCAAGGCATGAAAAAAAAAAGATCTGATCTTTACCAGGCTTCAAAATGACTCGGATCTAACAATAATGTCTGGACACACAACAAGAGGGTCCGCTTTGTTTCTGGTAATTAAACAAACAAACAAAAAAAAAAAAGTCACAGATGTAGTTAGTAGTTGATTTGCGGGTTTGTAGATTGTTCCACAATCCATTTGGGCTGAGCTTCAGACTTTGATTGGGAAACTGTAACACCATGATAGTTTTTGCCTTTTCAGTCACTCTGTTATGGATTTGCTGCTGCTGTGCTCGGGATCGTTGTCTTGCCACTGCTGGACCGACGGCCTCACGTTTGACTCAAGAACTCTGTGCCAGACAGAGGAGTTCATGAAACTCTGAATCAACTGCGTCACCTGGCATACGACTCTCATAAATGTCTTGCATGCCTTTTTAACGCACGCCATTAATGTGACTAAATATCACCACTAAATACTGAGTGAAAAGAATCTGGTCTTGATTATTCAAGCTAAACTAAAGATCTTTGAAGTTTCCAAAAAAGAAAGAAAAAAAAGAGAAAAGAAATAGTGCTTAGTTTGCCAACTCAACAACCTTCGGTCAAGCTTAAAAGTAAGCGGTAAAATGAAGCCGTATTTCCTTTGTGCATGTGTGTGTGTGTGTCCGAAGCGTACCACTCCGAAGCTGAACACGTCAGATTTTGGGGTGATCTCTCCCCTCAGAGCCTCAGCGGCCATGTACGCACGGGTCCCCACGATCCTGTCCGTCCTCATCGTCGTAGACGTGTGCTTGGCCGACGCTCTTGTCAGCCCAAAGTCGGAGATTTTCGCCACAAAGTTCTCATCCAGCAGGATGTTTGCACTAAGAGGGTGAAACAAATAGGAGTCACAACAAGCAAAGGGGGGAAAAAAAAACATCTTTGTTTTCGCTCAAGTTGCAGAAAGACGGAACAGATTTGTGACGTTTATTGTGGCGAGTTGAGGGGAAGATGCAGTGGATCGGCAAAGTACTGATGCTATTGGACGTTTTCTGCTATAATGTGTTTCATCAGGATTTTATGTGGCAGACCAAGACAATGTAGTGCATAATTGTGAAGTGGGAAGAAGGTGACATGATCTATGTATTACATTTTACAAATCTTCTGTCATTTGACAAAATGAGCACAAATAGTTTAAAGCACTGTAGATCTTCAGTCTCAGAATTTGAAGATTGTGCAACTATTTTTTATTAAAAAAAAAAAAAACGAAAACAGGTATCAGAAGAGATGAATATTACACAAAGACTGCAGCCGTCGCACCTTTTAACATCTCTGTGTACGTGATGGTTGCTATGGAGGTACTCCAAACCTCTAGCAGTCCCTTCTGCGATCAAGCACCTCTGTCGCCAGGAAAGTGGAGGACTACCGTCCTATGTAAACGAAAACAAAAGCTAAATCCTCTGCATGGAGGCCAGATCAGCTTTTCTGTATGCAGCGGACGTTTTTTTTTTTTTTTTACCAAGCAAGCGAGTCGATCCAGCAAAGATCCGTTGGCCATGAAGGCGTACACTATACACATCTGCTGCTCGTCGCATGAGAATCCAACCATGTCAACCAAGTTCTCGTGTTTCAACCTGTTAGGAAAACATTTTTATTAAAACAGAACTTTCTTACGTAGACGGAGGAGAACAGAAAGCGTCACATTTTACGCCGACGGACACAAACTCACACTTTCAGAGTCTGAATCTCTTGGTTAAACTGATCTTGCAGCTTGTCCAGAGGCATGTCATCTATCTAGAAGGGACATCATATGTTCAAGCATGTGAAACAGTGTGCCCTCTTCTACGTGGACACTCTCACTTACCGGGTTTAGTTTTTTCACCGCCACAGCTCTGTTGTTCAAGAAGCCTTTGTACACGGTGCCGAAGCCCCCCTCTCCGAGTCGGCTGCCGCCGCTTGAGACGGACCGGTCGTCAAAGTTGCCCGTGATCTTCCTCAGCTCACTGTACATAAAACTGGAGACGCCTGACAAGGGATGCACAGAAAGTGGGTCAAAGGAGTCACTGCTGCCACCTGCTGGTCACAAATGTAAAAAAACGTACAACGGTT